TTGTTTCTTGATCTTTATTTGCTCGCACTACCTTTCTCTCTGAGTTTAAATTCGTAACTACTCCTTTTCCTCTCTCCTCTATTGTTTCACTTCTTATCTTCAATATCCTTACCCCCTCTGTCAATCACCTATCACAGGGCGCGCTTTATTTGTACTGAAAAGAGTATACTTTCTTTACAAATACATCTCACTTTGAGACTGTTGCAGGGGATAGGTTTTAGTTTCAACTTTGGCCACATCGTTTCATTGTATAGGCTCTTCGGCGCTGTAGTAGTCACATCTCCCTAAAATAGAGCGTCATGATCGAAAGCGCAGAACGGCACGAAAATGAGACCTGAAAACGCCACACCTTATGTATTTTTACATCATGGAGCTACCTTTATATTTCTCTCTGCTTGCTACTGATTGCCTATGTCTAGATATACGTAAGACATCTGTAGCCAATCAAAAGCGAGCACAGAGACAGATGGAAAGGTAGCTCGATATTACATCTTTTTTTATCGTGTTAACGCTTCCACTCATAAAGGTATAAGAATAGAGTACGCAGGCAGGCGATTTGCGCGTGATCAGCTAATAAAAAGAAGACTGCATAAGGAAAGTTATATCTCTCTCTCTCTAACCGTCTGCTATACCTTGCGAGATTGGGAGAGCAGAAAAGAAAGTCGACCAATCACGTCGCTCGGCTAGACAAGGACACGATTCTTCTTATATGCAGCTATCTCTCTCTACGCAGATCTCGCTGCCACCAGAGCTCCCGAAAATGGCATCCAGAAAAACACCAAATTCAAATTGGCTATGTAAAGCAACACGCAAAAGCCCCCATGACTCAACCGAATTTCTAACATGATAACAAAATAAACCCAAAGCGATTGAACCCAATAATCCAATGCTATTTAACCCAGCAACGCAAAGCGCCCACTGGCCACTTAAAATTTAATGCTTTGAATAATAACAACAGTCTCCATCAACACACTACCCAGGGCGCTTACTGGTCCATTAGATAATTAATATAATAAACAAAATAACACATGAGCCAATCACTATACACAACCCGGAGCGCTTACTAGTCGCTTTCTTAATTATTGTGATGAATAAAATAACACATGCGGGAATCAACATTTGACCCAGAACGCTTACTAGCCACTTCGTTAAAAAATTATAATAAATAATGAGTAATTATAATAAATAAATAAACACATGTGCCAATTACCGCAAGACCTGAAGCGCTTACTGGTCACTTTGTGAATTATTTTTGTAATTAAAATAACACAGGTGCCAAGATCCACACAACCAAAGACGCTTACTAGTCACTTTGTTAATAAATGTAATAAATAAAATAACACATGCGCTAATCAGCGCACAACCCAGGGCGCTCACTGGCTGCCTTGTTCATTAGATAAATAAATAAAATAACACATGCCCGATTAAAAATTTAACCATGAGCATTTACTGGCCACTCCGTTAATTAATATGATTATTAAAATGACACAAGCGCTAACAATAGCACAACCCGGAAAGCTTACTAGTCACTTTGTTTATTAGATAAATCAATTAAATAACACATTCCCCAATCATTATTTAACCATAAGCAATTACTGGCCGCTCCGTTGATTAATATAATAAATAAAATGACACATGTGCCAAGCACCACACAACCCAGAACGCTGACTAGTTTCTTTGTTAAGTAATGGAATAAATCAATTAACACATGTGCCAACCACTACACAACCTAGAGCGCTTACTAGCAGTTCGGCTTATTAATTAAGAAAATAAAATAATAACACAACCGCTAATCAGCACACAACCCGAGGCAGATACTAGTTGCTTAGTTAATTAATATATGTGTTATTTTATTTATTATAATAACTAACGAAGTGACCAGTAAGCGTTTCGGGTTGTGTGGTGATTGGGCTTATTATTACAAGTATTTCATTAATAAACCAAACGGCCAGTAAGCGCTCCGGGTAAAACGGTGATTGGCACATGTGGATTTTGATTTACTCAATCAATAAATTAAACGGCTTGTAAGCGTTTCGGGTTGTGTAGCGATTGGCACATGTGTTTTTTTATTTATTCAATTAATAAACCAAACGGCCAGTAAGCGCTTCGGGTTGTGTAGCGATTGGCACATGTGTTTTTTTATTTATTCAATCAATAAACCAAACGGCCAGTAAGTGCNTGATTGGCATATGTGTTATTTTATTTATTATAATAACTAACGGAGCGGCTAGTAAGCACTTGAGGTTCAACGGTGATTAGTGCATGTGTTTTTTAATTTATTA